GACAGAAAAATGTTATGTTGATTCTTTTTTTTTTTCAACCGGCGATCAAACTCCGGTCCTTGAGTTTACGCAGCAGGAGGCGAAACCACTGAACTAAATCCCTGGCCCTATGTCGATTAATTCTAATGGCAATTAAATTGGATTTGAATGTCATATATCTTTGGTTTTGTTCATTTCTTTTAATGATATTTTATTGCATTTTACAAAAAGATTGTTCTGCAGTTGATTACAAAAGAAAACCGATTCCTCACAACAAATAGCTTTTGGAACATTTATGATTTAAAAATGAAGAAATCTCGCTGTGTCAAGTGAGGAAAAGAATTTCCCACATAATCTCTGTGGTGGCAAATCTCTAAAATGGCCTCTATTAATCCTCCAGTGCTATTATTCATAATTTTGTTTTCAAATGTTGCCTGAATTATGTAGCTCTTCTCTAACAAAACATGCTGTAGTGATGCCCTGCCATTCAGTAATAGTTTTAGAAAGGCTGGATTTTGTATTATCCATCCTCTTTCCTCATTTGATGTTCCTACACTGAAGCAAACTCTAATCTGAGTTTCCTTGGGAAGAGGTCTTCTTGAGTGTAGTATTATGTCACCACTTCATAGGAGAATTCATGGCAAAGATGTTAATTGAAATAATAAAGTGTTCTATATAGTTGACAACAGTATAGCTAAATATACTTATTTATTTTCTTTCTCCTTGAGATTGTTTTCTAGGTTTTATATTCATATATAAAGTAGTTATGGAAATCTCTAAAGAAATACTGCCAACCTTTTACTACATGGATTTTTGTTGGCAAAGCTGTCATTTATTAAAATATATCTCTCAGGCTGAGGATATAGCTCAGTGTTGCTGCGCCTTCCTGGCAAGCACAAGGTCCTAAGTTCTATCGCAGGTTCCGCGGAAAAAAAAATCAAACCAAAACAATTTGGGTTTGTGAGATGTGTCATATGATCCTCCAAATTGTATTAAATCTTTGTAATTGACTTATAAATTTAAATATATACTTATATATGGATAATTATATTTATACATTTTATATATATATATGAAAATATAAACACCCTCACACTAGAAAATTCTATGCTCCTTTTAGAACTGCATTATTATATTTGCTTAGGATATGAGCATGCTGTATCAAAAAATAGTTACTATTGATAACTATTAATTTGACTCTTATTTTCACATTGTGCTTCTGAAAGCATTACCATCTATATTTTATCTTATGATTGTGGAATATGCTTTTATAACTTACAAATATTTTATAGCAGTTTTTAAATATAAACTACAAGTTGATTATAGGGTGATAGGACAAAATTGTGTCCATAGACTTCAACAGTGTGTCTGTTTACATTATTTGAATGGGTAATGTTTTCTGAGTAATTTTTTATCAAATATTTACGTCAGTAATATTTTGTTGCCCGCACAGCTCTTAGTAACCATAGGAACAGCTTGAACGGCTGAATAATGCCTGATGTGATACCTGAGTATTACCTTTGTGTGCTCAACTCTGAGACTTTATGGGCATCAAGAGTCTTCCAGCCCCAATTGATCATGTAAAATCTAGGAGGATGTTTAAGCCATCCGGTTCTAGTTTCATGCTACAGATTTTCATCAGAGAGTAAGAGAATTTATTAGTGTAGATGTAGTAGTTGGAAAGAAAATACTGAACACTGAGTTTTGGATATAATCTTCTTTTGAACCATTTCATTTGGAACAAAACTGGTTGCAACCAATTACTGTAATAGGAAATTATTTCCTTTACCATAAATATAGTGTTTCTTCCCTTTAGTTTCTTTCTTAAATTCAAACTTTATATTAATAAAAAAGAAATTCATACATTTATTTATTGTTTTTATTAGAGCAAAATATTATAAAGAGTATGAGAGTACAAACATATGGGGCAAAAAATAAATCATGGCAAATCTATAACAAATCACATATGTATCTATTAAATATTTTGAGAAAATACTTGGACAGTTGTAAAATACACTTAATAAATTATTACCTGAAAAACCTACATATAAAATTGAATATATAATGACCTCTTAATATTATAAAACATTTGAGAAGAAACTCTGTTGCTGGTAGAATTTTTCTGTTGTAGGGTGTTTTGATTCATTTTTCTTTTTGTATTTTCCAATAACTCTACATCAGTGGTCCTCAAATGGGTGATATTTCCTCCTGTGGACATTTGACACTCTGGGAACACATCGGGTGAGAATGTGTACTAGTATCCACAGTAGTAGCACCCCACGATGATGCCAAACAGCTCTCAGTGCACATGACAGGTCCCCTTACCTTCAATGCATCAAATGTTTATCTGGCCTGAATATCAATAATACCACAGTTGGAGATGTTGTACTCTGTACTACGTATGTATTTCATTTGAAACTTGAAGAAAAGGGATAGCATTAAAAAACACTAGAAAAAGATGCTTTCAATAATGTAATACACATATCAGATTTTTTTTTGCCAGCTATTTTGTGGGAAACTAACAATTGTGAATTCTTTAAGTGTAAGAAATTGGCCAAAGTGTAATAGCAAGCATATTAAATTCTTATTGTTTCTTTCATTCACTAGTATGGGATTTCGAACCTGAGCAACAAAAATCCAACTCTGCCTGCTGAATAGCTAAGGTTCTGCCTATAGTTAGTTATTTAAACCTAAATTTCTCCATGTGGAGCCATTTCTTGCAGTTGTTTTCTAAAGCCCTGGCTGGCTTATTTTGGATCTAAATTGAAGCATAAAGCTTTTTGTACCAATATTCGCATAAAGCTTTTTGAAACAAAAGAAATTGTGCCTGAATGAACTCTCATGCAAAAATACTTTTATTTTTTATCCTGGCAAAATTCCTAAGATTTAATGAAGTGAAACCATTAAAAAAAAAAAAAAGTCCAGTGTTGTGAGAACACAAAGACTATGTCTAAAAATAGCCCAGAAAGCTAACTACTTTGCTTTTCCATACAATAGCCAGACTTGAATGTTGCCCTTGCCTTGAACAAAAGAATCAGCCTCCTGCTTTCCACTGTGATTATAGATTTTTATAGCTATGGTCCCAAACTAACCAAATTTAATGGTGTTATTCTGAAGAAAGTTAATTTACTGCAATGAGGTTAGATTTTTGCCATCATAATTTTTTTAAAATATACTTTCACCATGGAGGAGTCCATGGCTGTTTTCAAGAAATGTAAATAACTAAAGGATATTGTCAGCAGTAATGAGTGTTGTCCAATGGTGCTGTCCTAAGTCACTAGCAAGGTGACCCTTGATCTTCTGAATAGCTATTAAGTGCTAGCACTACCTCTATGCCAGATATTGTGCTGGTATTTTGTATATTTTATGACTAATTTCCTTAGCACCCCTCTCAATAAGTGTTATTTTTCCAGCTTTAGTTACAAGGGTCTGAGTTCTAGGTCGTCACTCTTCTAAAGGAATGCTACTGAAAAGCCAGATTTAGAATTCATGATTGCCTGACTTCGAATCCATTATTCATGCCCTCATGTTCAGGTTCTGTTAGGCTTCAGGGGAGATTTAAAAAAATAGCTGTCCACATCCTCACCATGCTTGGAATAAAATCGAACCATCCCTAAGCAGCAAGACATAACTTAAAAAATAAAAGCTATCAAATGAGTATATTATAATCTTCAGCTCAAGTTTTGAGATTCTTGGTGGACTGATTTAATTTGGAAGCTTAATTTTCCAAGATTTTTATCACAATGAAATTATTTTTAAAAAGAGATTAAACCATCAATGTTTATTTAATTACCCAGTGACATTATCCTCCCTTGATCTAATCCTAGATAATTTAATGCAGAACCTATGTGCATCAGTTGTCATCACTTCCTTTTCTAGGACTCTGTCTGCACATACAGTTATGTTACAAGGCTGATAAAGATGTCTTCTTTATAGATTTTTTTCTTTGTAAATTTTTTTATTCTCTTTCTTTCTTATTTCTTTTTCATTCATTTGAAGTTGATCAGTGAGAGTACATAAGGTGGTGGTGGTGAATAGTCACAATCAATGAAATGTTTGAAAAAATAATCTAAACTTTTTTCATTAATAAGCAGTTGTGTTTATTTTAATAATTGAAATGTGTGTTAGATTTTCCTGTTTATTAGTTAAGTACATTAGCAAATGCATACTGTACAAAGAATCTCTGCTTTGCTTTCTGGATTTTCCAAGTTCCGTATCCTTAACACCAAATGGCTTGAATGAATACAAGTAAAGAACAAGGAATTGTTTTCAGTCCACCATGGTGTGCTCAGTGAAACAGAATGCTAATATGAACTATGAAGTCCTGTTTTGCTAAGGATAAAATACTTTTTCAAGGCTTTTGGAGTCGTAAAAGCAGTAAATAAAATAGATTTAGTTCATTTGGCTTTGCTTTTTAAATTTTTCTCATATACATTGCCCCAGTTGTATGTTTTACAATTGTATTTACTAAATATATTATAAATATATTGCATTTTTTTTTCACATTAAAGATTTCAAAATTAGCCAGGATTTAATTAGGTGTGCATTTTTTTCAGGCTCCCAGTTGCATTTTGATGAATTCTTTAGATATTCAATTAACATGTGAATGATTTGCATAAAGTGTGTTTATTCTCTATGGGCTATTGCAGAATCACTTGATAATTTCTTTGCTGTATTAATGGTTCAATTTACTACTTTACTAGTGGGAAATGAAACTGTGTAATTGGAAAGTGGTAAGATACTTTATAGCATATTAGTTTAGGATAATTATCAGCATGTTATATTATGCATTGAATTGCAATTGAGAGTAGAATGTTATAGTATTTAGGAGAAGTAACAACCAAAAATAGTTAAATTGTTATGGTAACTATTGACTTGCAATGAAAATGAGCATAATCATTGAAAGACATTTTTGTATTTTATAAACAGTGTGTTCCTTTTGATAACTATCCTTTTTCTTGTTTCTTTTTTATTTTTCATTTATTTTCTATTTTTTTATAATTTGCTGCTTGCCATTGAAGGAAGTAGAGGTTCGTATACAACTTCAGTGTTTCATATATTATTTTATATTTTATATAAATCCCTACATTGAAATTACTCATATATACTCAATTCACATTATTTTCCCCCTTAGGATGATTATTTCCGCACGTGGAGTCCAGGAAAACCCTTCGATCAGGGTAAGAATTTAATTATTTTAAAATAAAAATCTTTAAGTGGATAATTACTGTATTTTAAAAATTATACTTAACTGTTGGATTAGACTTTCAAAGGAGAATTTATATGAATGGAAACATGAAGTACTTATGTTTATTTCAGCAAAATATAGAAATGACCTAATTATCACTATTATGTAAGGGTATCTTTTATTTTTAGATACATGATTTATATTATTTATTTAGGCTTTTAAATGCTACCATAACCATTTTGTTACTTGATATAAATAACTTCGTCCAGTTTTCAAGTGCATTTCTTGAAAAATAGATTTATTGGTGCAAAATCTCAAAACAAACAGCTTTGCAGTCTCCTTTTCAGTTCATAAAAGGTTTCATTGAAAGTAGAGCATACTGGTAATTAGACTCAACTAAAGTCTTAACAAGAACCAAAAGAAAAAACTTTATACTAAAATTGGGACTCTCTCATCTCTGTACATACAGCTTTCAATTTTGGTTATTTCATCCTCAGAAGGATAAGCAGGGCTTATGGGTGAGAATGGAAATACTCCTACATGTAGAATGAAAATGGGAACATCAAACAATGCAATATACATAATACACAATATTCATAATTACATGAGTAAAGAAATTTGTATACTACATTCCATGATATTAGAGCTTGTGAATCTTCCTTTTAAGGTTTGAAACAAAAGAAAACTCTGGTTTACATAGGCTAAATAATATCCTTGCAAAGACAATACTCAATGAATCAGTACAAATTATGTATGTCAGTTTTCTGGTACTATAATAAAATACCTGAAATAAACAAGTTATAAGGGAAAAAGATTAATTTTGGCTTATGGTTCTGGATATTTCTGCCCAGGTTTGGTGACTCCTTTGCTTTAGTCATCTGCAAAAGTAATTATAACATGATGGGAGCACATGGAAGAGCAAACTACTTGCACTGTGATCCAGGAAGCAAATTAGAAGAAGGAGAGAGACTAGAATCCCAGTTACTTTAGGGAGCATGCGCACCATGTGTAAGGACCTCTGAAAAGGCCTGGCCTGTTTCCATAACCTCCGAATAGCACCCTGCCCTGTGGGAACTAAGCTTTAAACATATGGATCTTTGGGGGATATTCAACATCCGATTGTATCATTTTACAAACAGAAATCTTTTAAAAAATATTTAAGGAAATGATTGAATGGTAGAGTTATACTATATAACTCTGAAAGGAGCTTAGAATTATTGCTATTTCTACACATTTTTTGCTTAATATTTGGCAAAGATGTCACAAAAGCAAAACTGTATGAGCGAGAACCTAATTGCATAGACCTATACATGGACTGTCTTCAATGTCCATATTAGTCTGGAATCAGAAACAGTCATTCAAATCCAATCATCCTTTTAAAATTAGGTTCTTTCTTATATACTTCATGTTATTACAATATTATTGTATATTTTTATTTGTGAATACATAAAGTTGAATTCTAAAAGATCAGTCTTGACTTGTGTTACAAATAAGACATGCCAATACACTAAAAGACAGAGAATAGGAAAAAATAATGACATACAAACTGAGTTGTATTTATGCACTTTCTTGGGAAATACATTTTTATAATGAATCACGAACCTTGAAAACAAAAGTTATCTGTAAAATGGATGTTAACATTTAAATTTTCCCTACTCAGTCCATCCAGTTATGATAAAGATGCTTTGATTTTTACTTTCTCTGTTTGTGACAGTGTGTTGAATTCAACTCATCTCTCCTTTATTAAAGAAAAAAAAAGATTGCTGTAGGGGAGTGTCTTAATCACTTTCTTGTGGCTGGGACACAATACCAGATATCAACAAATTAAAGTAGCAAAATGGTATTTTGGCTCACAGTTTCCAGAAGTTCCAGACATAGTCAGATAGCTCCAAGGAAGGGTGGCGTGGCAGAAATACATGGTGGAGGAGAGCTGCTTTTGGCAAGGCAGAAAAGAAGTGGAGAGTCAAGGGAGGAGGCAAGAAGAGAGATATAACCCTGCAGGCCATTCCCCCAGTGACCTACCTCTTCCACTCACACCTCACCTACACAGAGCAAGTTGGCTGTAATCCTGGTCATACGATAATATTCCAAGACCCCCACCTGTGACCAAATGTGAAAAAATAATTTTGACTTGAATTACCAATCAGCCATGCCAATAGACTAAAACACAGGAAATGAAAATAAAATGACACAAAGACTATTATCAGTTTATGAACTTTATTGGGGAATGAATTTTTATGATGGAATCATAAACCTTAAGAACTAAGTTATTTGTGAAATGGATGTTAACATTTAAATTTATAATAATTGGTGCATGCAGTTATAATAAAGATGCTTTGATTTCTACTTTCTGTTTGTGACATTGTGTTGAATTGTAACTCATGTGTAATTTAAAAAACAAAAAGACAAGATTTCTATAAAGCAGCATACCATATCCAAATATACTATAAGACACATTTCCTTGAATTTTCAAAGATTTATAAGCTGCAAATTTGATAAGTACATCATATTTATTAGACAAAGAGAAGCTTAGGATACAATGACAACTAATATTCATGAAGAATTATAATATTGAGTCTATTTTATTCCATCTATCTATCTATCTAGACATATGTTTATTTAATCTTGACGGTAGTCCTACAAGGTAGATGATGAAATTGAGGTATCGAGAAGGTTGTTTTTGCCCGGGTGATACACCTACCAAATGACAGTCAAGATATGAGTTTATAAAATCTGAAAACTGAAGCCCACCTCCTAATACTACAATACTACTAACACTCATATGATAGAACTAAAAAATTGCCTTATCTTATAATATATATATGTTTAATATATTAAATTTAAATATATTAAAAAATATATTTAGTAAGGCATTCATATATACATAAATATATAAATATGATATATATCACATATTAATCATTTAAGTTATCTTTCTTACTGGGATCTGTGTGACATTTTCATACATACATTTTCATACTTGCATAATCTCACAAAGATTATCCTTTAAAATGAAATAAATATTTTTTGAACAAACAATAGAGATGGAGCTATTAGCTTTATTTCTGTGTGTTAAAATAGTATTTTGTAGCCAATCAGACCTTGGATTTTGATTTTATATGTATGCCTCATAAAGATAGGAGAAAATGTTATATAAAAATAGAAAAAAATAAATCAAGACTTTTCTACTGGATTTTGGATTTGAATTAACCAACCTATGTATATATAGATAGCATTAAGAAATCAGCAAAAAATTTTTGTTATCATAAATCTCTCAATGACTGTAGTGTTAATTTTAATATGTTTCTTGTACTTTCAGATGATAGAATCTTCCTTTAAGTATCTGCAAACTTTGTTTTGGTAAAATCAATTAATTGTCCCTATGTACCTTATTTCATTTCCAGTATAGCTGTAACAAATTTAATCTGATTTAAGCTTCTATTCATCAATCATGTCACATCCAGTTTGAATATTTGGAGGGTTAACTGAAATCATAAACATTGGAAAACTATGATGATTTCAAGCATTTAAGTTAGACCATTTTGGTTATTGAAATTCTGCTGCAAAATAAAAGAAGGTACATTGATGCCAAAAATAAATTGCTTTGAATTTCTCCAAATTGAATTGTCTCTGCTGTTATTTCTCTTCATTACCATGGTTAATCATGAGTTGACAAACAGAAACCAACTAAAAAATGGTTTTAATGAGGACATGCATCTCCTTGAATAAGGCACAAACATTATATGTTTTATATGACAAATAAATTAAAGGATAAAATTCATAAATGAACCCAAAGTGGTATATGATACAGATTTTGATTTAATAAATCCTTGGGTAAATATGCTGTACTTTTTAGAGAGAAATATTCACTTCTTTTTTTTTTTCCCTCTTCACTGTTAACCTTGCTTTACTTCAGGGTACAGATTAATTAGGATGAGTAACAGAAAGGTCATTACAATTTGATCACCGACTCTTAAGGATTATGTAGAGAATCTGTTTAGAATAAATACTATATCCGCCAGTAAAACTTTTTATTCAGAAGTTAATTTTTCCCAGCATATGACAGCTATCTAGATGTGGTGAGATGAGCTAGATGGAAGGAAACAAAATACATTTTCATCATATCCCTTGTTTCACTATCCAAACAAGCTTGGGGTTGCTCCACATGATAGCTATCTGATAATGAATAATAATTAATAGATTAATAATTAAAAACTGGATTTTAAAAGGTCTAGGTATTTTAGATAAAAGCAGTTTCATGTTATTGGTGTGTTTTCCTTGTTCTTGCCAATTTATGAGGATATGGAATTAGGGATAAGAAATGTAGCTGTGACTTAGAAGAGCAACCTTTGGTCTCTTTGCGGTACTTTCATCATGTCCTGTCTTCCTAAATCAGTTCCTCTCTGAAATGGCAAACTGACTACTACTGATCCATTAGATTGCACTTAATTCAACAAAAGTTCATGAAGAGGAGGTAGGTGAGGAAATCATTCTTCAACTCAAGTTGTGAAAATCCAGCCAGAAAGACACCTGTGAACAATTAACCTTGTATCTAAATGAGCCATTCCTTCAGGGATTGAGAGGAGTGGATATGAAAAAAGAGTCCTTGATGAAAAGACTGATATATGCTTATCCATATACTTTTTCATTGTTTTTTGTCTCTTCAAGATAAATTCTTAATCTGATTCCCATTTTTTTCCATCTATTTGCAGAATGTCTTAGATATAACAGTCGCAGCCTGGCGTGTCCCTTTGAAACTAACCTCTGTTACAAAGCAAAAGTAGTTGAGATTTGATCTGAAGCTTTTGTTCCCTTCAGTGAATAAAGCTGCTCAGTGCATTGTAATATAGTGTTTGAGGACATGTACCCAGAATTTGTCTTCTCCTTCTTAAATCATAGTTTCATACTAAGGTATAAGTGCCACATTAAGGCACATTCTGTAGATTAGTCAAAGTAGGAATTGCTTCTCTCTCAGATACTTTTTTAAAAAAT